CCAGAAATTCACTAGTAATTTCCGAACTTATTTCTACATAAAACCCTCGTCCAGGAATCAGCCGAGGTACACAAACTGACAATTTAATATACAAATCCATCATAATGATAACGTTACATACTTACAAAAGAAAAGAAAACAGCAGCGGAATAACGGTCTAGCGATGGCTTCAGCTCCACTCCCACAGGCAGCTCAACTGGGGTATAAGCCAAACGTCTTCTCCTTCTGGATCCTTTTTCTTCAACTGAGGTTTGATGATTATTGCAAGAATGAGCATATGACATACTCAACAAGCCACACAGCAAATATGCAAGTGCACAAGGATACCAAAGGATGGCATAATATAGACTCATTTGCAAAAGCAGCATTTAACAAACATTTAAGAGAAGTAAAACAGTAGAGTAATTAATCATCAATTTTAATCAACACTGAACAGCACACCCATGCTGCTCAGGCCCAACCAAACCTGAACAACCAACCCCGGTCGTACAGATCAAACCTCCAAACAAGGAATTATCCATTCCAAACCAGGAGTCAAATTAATTAGCACATTAGTACCATTAATGAGTAGTGTGGGACTAATCACGAAAAACATTGCTCAACTCGCCCATAACCGCGGGCACGGCTATTCAAATAGTTTTACTCTAGCCAGAGGTGTACCACTATACCCACAAGACACGATTCCACACATGTTGCCATGCCCCGAAGTACCACCACGGCACTGCTAAGGGGGAAATCGTGACAATACCCTTCGCACAACACAACTCACCACAGTGCACCATTCCTGGATCATAATCACCCCCTCAAAACCAGAGGCATGGACTCCCCAGCGACCCCCACGGACTTCTCGCCGCTTCACAGTCTGGCACACCATAATGAATCATGCTATACAAAAGATAAAGCCGTTGCCCACGCTGGCTTGTGGTTGGCACGGTTAATGTCTCACAACAGTAGCTCGCGAACCGGTCCTTAATTGTCATGAGCACAACCATCAAAACCATATGCTCACAACCCACCTTTATCATATTTTAGTTATCAATTAATCAACATAACATGATTAACCATCGTGAGCTATCATTAAATATAACCATAATTAATAATAATAATATAATTTATATTTAATCCCCTTTAATTAGCTAATGTTTCTACGCATGACTAAGCAAACATACATATGGCATTTAGCTGAACCAATCCAATATATAAGGTTCATGCTAATCAAATTATAACCCATAGGAAAATAAAGTCATCTTCGCCCATTAATTAATTAGGAAAGGCTCAACCCCCCCCCCCCCCCCCCGCGCGATGACATTCGAAAATAATGTATAAGTTGAAATAAAACAATAGCTTTAAACGGGTTCAACATGCTCAAAGAGTTGTTTGGGATCTGTGTGACTTGCCTTGAGCTTCCGCAAACACTTCCGAACCTTCCTCAACGAAAACGCTCTCCTCCGGAACGTCGGAAACTAAACCGAAAGAACAAAATTCAACAAAACAGTACAAAAACAAGCATAAACAGTACATGTGGATATTTTTAACATGTAGATCTCGATTTTAGAAAAATTTAGCAACTTGAACCACTCGAATCGGAGCTACGGCGATTTAGTTATGAATTTCCGAAGTTTTAATCGATTTGCATCTAAAAAGAAAACCGAGAAAAGGGATTAATGACATCATCGCTGACGTCATCGACGGCAGCCACGGGTTGGACGACGACCTTGCCGGCGCTGCGGACCTTGGCTGGGCGATTGGAGGGCACCTACGCGTAGAGGACAACATTGCGAACTCAACGGTGCTCACCAAAACGAAGAACGACGACGGATGGTGGCCGGCGACGAACTTGTCTGGCGGCGGTGGATCGATTGACGGCGGCGACGGCTCTCCGGCGACCGGCGACAGCGGGGAGGGGGCGGCCGGGACTCTACTCCGCCATGCACACCTAACGGCGGCGACGGGAGGCGGCGGACGACGCAAGCGGCGGCGCGAGGCGGCTCCTCGTCGGCCGGCGACGGCGGCGGCTTGGACGGCGTGGCGACGGCGCTACGGGGCACGAGAAGGCTCGGGAGATGGGGCAAACGAAAGAGGGCGACTAGGGGATGCTATTTATAGGCTTGGATTAGAGAGATCGGACTCCAAACGAGAGGATTTGAGCCGGAAAAACCGAGGGTTAGTTGGAGAGATAAACTCGAAAACGAATTCGATTCCGCGTTGATTTCTTCGGGATAAAGTCTGATTCTTGGGGGAAAGGATAGAGGAGGATAAGAGGAATATTTCCCCTCAACTAATTTTAGGAAAACACAAGGGAAAAGGTCGGATTTGGAGGGGAAAAACCGAGCCCACTCGGTCTCAGTTCGGCTGCTAGAGGTAGAAGATGAACAGTGTCTAGGGAGGCAAATTAGACTTTTTCGGTTGGCTGAGAATAGAACAGAGCACTTGACTTGGGCCGGCTTGGACTGCACAGCACGCGCGCGAGGGAGAGAGAAGAGGAAGAAATGGGCCAAAAAGGGCCCAAGCTGAGGAGGAGGATTTTTATTACTTTTCCAATTAAAATAATCACTTAAATGATCTTTGAATTGTTAAAAATACTTCCAATGCTCAAATAATTTCAAGAAAAATCCTGAAAATACTTGGACACTCAAAGTACTTAAAAAAATATAATTAGACCATTTAATGATTAATTTAATATGTGGGTATTTACTGAAATGTTCTTTGTATGATTAAAATTAGGAATTGAGCTCCGAAAAAAATCCGAGAAAATTCCAGAGAGTATAATTAACAATGGAGAATTTAATAAAAATTAAATCCATCCATGCTTTATATTTAGGAAATTTTATTTCCCACATTTAACTTCACTTGTAAATTAATGAACATTTAATATAAATTCTAATAATAATTTATTAAATAATTTATAAATCCTAAGACGAAAATCAAGGTGTGACAAGGAGGCGCCACCCCTTGAAGAGGTGCTACAACAACTCCGGCTGCTGGAAGCTGTACACCCTCTTCGCCAGCCATCTCCACTTCATCATCACTCTACTTATGCTTGGTGGTAACTCTCTCTTTGGCGATCTTCTTTGGTGGCATTAGTGGTTTCGCTCTTGTTCTCAGTGATTTCGCCCTGAGATCCCCATGGTCGGTGCCAACTATTCTCGATTGACAACCACGTCACGTCGAAAGACGTGGTTCACTCAACAGCAAGTTGGATTATTTAGTAAAATTGTTTGGGATCCCCCCTTTACATGTCTCCAGGGGACTATTTATAGTCTTAGTACAGGCTTACATCCTCTAGGGTTTAGGTTGTACAGGGAAATTTACATGGATACCCTTATTATAAGGACATTAGTGAGGCACACAGTGTCCTTTTCATTAATGGGCTCTTAATGGGCTAGCTAGGTCGGCCCAACTATGGCGAAAGGCCTCCATGGACTGTGCGGCCCTTCAATCCTTTTCTCCCGACTGTGTTTTATCTAGGGTGAAGCCTTCATGCTTTGCCACATGGCCTTCGACATGTGGCTTTCACCCATTGGCAGATGTCTCCCGAATTGTCGAGCTTGGACCCGATCTTTTGATCTTTGCCATCATGCTTCACCTTGTGGCTTTGCCTGATGAGGACACAACTAGCTCGGATATAACCATGACTACCTTATGTATTAATCAACCAAAGGTGCATATGTTTTATATTAGATTTACTTGTTATATATTCGAACAAACGTTGCTACACAATGAGTTTTGTGTGTTTTCAATTGCAGAGGTACTTGCTTGGGCGAAAGAAAAGAGACCGAGCATAAGGAATGCATGGATGATTGAAGAAGTTGATTGGGAACCAAACCAAAACCTTCTCCAAGTCTTCTTTCATCTCACCACGTCACTTTTGGTCCATAGAAGACAAAAGATAAAGTTCAACATGTTTTGGATTCGGATTCGGGCCTCCTCACAGCACCAACTACAAACGGACCTAGCCGCTGATTCTTATGGAGTCTACTTTCATATGATTTTGGTCCCACATCAAAATTCCTACCGAGCTGCCGTGAATCTGCAAAACAAGCCACATATCTAATCCAGTCCGAATCTGATTTGTGTTTTGGGCCTTGTAATTGTGTCGTGGGCTTAGCTGTCACGCCCAGAAATTTAGCCCAAATTTCCAGACTATTTTGTGTATTAAATCCCTGTCCAGGACCAGCCAGGGTACACAAAACGACAAGTAATATACGGTTCCAAACGTAAATAAAGTGTAAAATACTTATAGAAGAGGCACTTAGTCCTCACACCGAAACAGAACGACAGCAGCGGAAAAAGGCGATCCTAGCGGGGCTTCAGCTCCACTCCACAGGCAAAACTCAACTGGGGTCTGAGCCTTGGTCTTCTAACTTCATCTTCAGCTCAGAAGCACTACACTTCTGAAAAGGGGGAATAATAGCAAGGCTGAGTACAACCACCGTACTCAGCAAGCCACACCAATGATGCAGACGTGCAAGGGGAACAAAGGGACGGTTTGTGGCTATTTGCATAAAGGCGGTTGTAAAACATTTTATTTAGCAAAACAGTAAAACTGTTGAGTAATTAAAGTAACATTAAATCACCACTGATCTACAGTGCATTGAGTCGATTTATTAAGGTGGGACTAATCACGGTGAATCTGGTCAACCGCCCATAACCGCGGGCACGGCTATTCGAATAGTTTTACTCTGATCAGAGGTGTACAACTGTACCCACAAGACACAGCCCCACGACACGTTTCCGTGCGCCGACATGCCACCACGACATACCGGAAAGAGCCCATGACAGGACCCTTTGCATAACTCCCTCTAACCAAGCACACCACACCTCAGGTTTCACCCCCACTCCTCGCAAGGCAGCGGGCAGTCCCCTCTCGTGCCTAGGTGAATCCGGAAGCCGCATAGACCGTCGCAGGGCCCATCCAAACTCCATCACGCCCACCCTTGCCAGGATGCGTCGGCTAGACGAAAGCTACACTACAAGCCCAGCCGTTGCCCACGCTGGCTTGTGGTAAGTACGATAAGTTCTTCCAGGGCATCCCGCGAACCGGTCCTTAATTGCCATGGATGCGACTAGCAAAACCATGCACCCACAGCCCACCATTCAGTTGTATTTTAGTTGGATAATTAAGACCACGAAGCATGGTCAGATGTCTCGAGCATGCAGCTCATTCTGATACTAAAAAGGTCTAATACTGTAATTATCCCATCAACTGAGCTAGTGGTAATTAAGCATGGCTAAGCATATAGTTCTAGCTAGGTCACATAAGTACCATGAGCTAGTTGATTTATCACACAAGGTTGACAAAGGACAGATATCAAGTAAACATTGGCACAAGCGAGCAGATAGGTAATACTCGGATCCCATGTAATTAGCAAGACATGCATGTTTATTTGCAAACGGTAAAACATTTATAAATTGGGATCAACATGCTCAAGGGGAATGTGTGACTTGCCTTGCTTCTTCACTACAACCTTCTGAACTCTGATCCTCGCGACCGCGAACTTCCGAAACGACGCGAACTACACGCAGGCACGCAAAACGAGGAAAAACCCTAGTAAAAACCAAGGAAACAGTACATAAAAAGTAAACAAACATGTAGAGCTCAATTTTAGATGAATTTTGCAAGTTGAATGGCCCAATTCGGAGTTCATATGAATTAGATATGAATTTTAGAAGTTTTGAGCCATTTAAATGAATTTCTAGAATTATTATTGATTTATTGCGCAATTATTATTTAATTTCTCAAAGGAAAAGATGATCGCTGACGTCAGCAAGGGGCGGCCGGTGCCGACACGCGGGCCCCACACGTCAGCGGGTCAAAGGGGGAGACGCACGGTGGACACGGTCCACCGCGGCCGGGGCGGCACCGTGGACCGAGACAACGGGTGGTCCACGGGCAGCCACAGGGCAAGGCGCCTAGAGCACGGGCACGGCTCAGAGCCGGCCCAGCTGAGACACGACGCGCGGCGGCGCACGACCACCGGCGGCGACGGCTAGCGACGGCGCGGGGAGCGGCAGCGCACGCGGGCAGCGGCGACGCACGCTAGGGAGTGGCGGCGCGGCGCGGCGAGGGGAGGCGGCAGCCGGCTGCCCAGCACAGCCGGCAGAGGTGCGGGCGCGGAGCACGGCGGCGATGAACCGGCCAGACGGCCACCGGCGGTGGTGGCGCGTCGCCAGGCGGCCGGTGAAGGGGAGACAGAGGGTAAGGGAGGGATGCTCACCGAGCTCGCGCAACGGCGAGGAGACGACGGGAACGCGGCGGCGACAAGCTCCTCGAGGAGGCACGGCGACGGCGGGACTCCGGCGACGTCCGGCGAAAGCGGAGGGACGACCGAGCGCCAGCAGGACCTGGGGAAGGGGATGGCGGGATTAGGAGGGCACGAGGAGACACCCGGCGGCGTGAATCACCGGCCGGAAGAAAGAAGACTAGCGGGTGCTCACCGGTGTGCGATGAAGGTGGAGTTCCGGCAGGATTCGGGTGACGGGGAGTGGTGGCCGAGGACCTCCTCGTCCTTGCGGAGCCGAGGGAGGCGACGACGTGGGTTGGCGACGACCAAAGCAGTGGGACGACGCGGCTGCAGTCGACAAACGGAGGTGGTGGCTCGGGTCGACGGTGGAGGGGTGGTTGCGGTGGCGATTTAGGGAAACGAATCGGATGCCGGGGTGCGGCGAGGCACGACGAAGCTTTCGACGGTGGTGGCGCAGCGTGGCAGCGACGCGAGTGGCGGTGGCGAGCGACTGGAGGAGACGAGAGGCGGCTGTGGCTCGGGTGCACGGTGAAACCGGCGCCCGGGTGGTTTATTGCAGAAGCGGAGCGGTGGACGGGGTTCGGCAACGCGCGGCGAGGCCGGCGACGCAAACGGCGCGGCGCGGGGACGGCGGCAGCGGCGGCAGCAGCCAGCTGGAGAGTCGCCGGCGAGCGGCGGCGCTTGGGCTCGCGTGGGGAGAGCGGGAGAGAGTGTGGGGAGTACGGGAAAATTGGGGAAATGGACGAGGGTCGCATGGACAGTGTTTATATAGGCTCAGGAGAGGGAAATCGTTGCCGAAAGGAGCGGAATCGGGCGGCAACCGGCCGGCGACGTGGGGTGGCGACATGGAGCTCGAGGGAGGTCAAACCGGCGTGATTTTTGGGGATATAGTGGGGGAAAATGAGGATGAGTGGGTGGCGACCACATCCGCACGGTCGAACGTGCGCGAGGGAGGCGGGAGGCGGCGGTTTTAGCGGCAGGGTGGGGCGGCAATTGCCGGTCCCTGGCGATGGGGTGGCTGGAGGTAGGGGAAGGGGATGACAGGTGGGTCTTTTT